AGCTAATCCTCACTCAAGCTAAGAAGGAATTGAGGGGATGGTAGGTTGGCAGAACTATCTTGTGTGCCATGAAGGTGCTACTCCCGGAGGTGCCCAGGTCAACCCTACAGCTAACTGCTAGGGGAAAAAAATCTCTGCCACTGTGCATGTATGCAAGCACACACCTGATTGGAATCGACTAGAATCAACATGAACAAGCACCTGAAGAACAGTTATAATTGCAGCAAAGCATTTCAACTTTCTGCAGCAGGTAAAATATGACAGATTTGAATTTTTAAAAAGTAAAGAAAACATTTACTAAGGCAAAGTCTGACGCACACAATTCCATTACAACTTTTAGATGAGAAATTTCTGTAGCTGGTTGAAAGCCCACATCATTTGGTACTAATTCTCGAGAACTGCAAGCTCTTTGCAGGTCATAAACTTGCACAATTTTGGCAGTGTTTCAGATCTATAACAACTTACTTGTTTCAAAGTAATAGAGTTCCAGAAGGATAAGTTTATATAAAAAGCGGAGGCATAATGAAGAGCAAATTTACTACGCGAGATTTTTCTTTAAAGTAAAGGAGTAGACGCTTTTAACATCATGACAAAAAGCTTTATAAAAATTTTAAAAACAGTTAAGATTGCTGTGTATTCACTGGAAATCACAACTTCTTTAGAAATGTCCCCATTCTTTTACTTTATTCTGATTCAGTAAGACCACATAATTATACCTCTGTCATGGAAAAAGTTATACATGAGTAGTTTAAACTTACTGAATTTACCGTACTGCATTATTTATATTAATGGAATTATATTAAATCAAATTTTGTTATTAAAGCAGGTGTGACAAATATGACACACCTGTATTGTACATTTTTGCTAAACAAAATAAACAAGTAACTACAGTCAGACATTTAAAAAACAAAGTTCCCAAATCAAAGTACTGAAATAGAGAAACCTAAAATGGTTGATTAGTTTTTCCTTTCAGATTCTTTTTGTAACAATGCGCTAATATAAATGTGACACATTAGCCTATTTAATCTATTTATTGCACTGACAAAGGCCATTAACTAATACTTGTAAAATAAAGCACTTTCATATAGCTTGAATGTTTAGTGACTTATTTACTAAAAGATGGAGAAGGATACTTCCATGTGCATAAGGTATTCTTGGGCAACCACTTTCACAATCTAAACATGATTCTTTTCCCTCCACAGGTTAACAAACAACTCAGGATAAGCATAATATTCCACCTTGAGCGTGCATACAAAAGCTTCCACTCAAAAGCCTGCACTCCTCTACATCCCCCACATTTGTGCCATTAACTCTTTCCTACAAATAGGAAGTAATCCAGTTAGCTTCAATGTAGCATGCAATGAAAGCAGACTCAGCTTAAAACAAACTATTCCTCCACATGTTAGACCAACTGTAAAAACAAGTTAAGAGCCTAGTTTTAGGAGTCAAAGATGGTCGAGATCCCATGGTGATGAGTATAGCAAAACCAGTTGCAATTATGGATAGACATTTAAAGTTCTGCCAATCAAGTATATGTTATTTATGCTAATTTCTGTATTTGTCTTCTAACTAGAACAGAAATAAAAAGCTCCCCAACTTACTGTTCATGGAAATCCAGCATTGGTGGTTCAAACCGGATAGGTCTGCAATTCCCCCGGTACAGGGATACACTGTGGGGGAAAAAATAAGGCTCTGTAACAGAAGTAGCAACAATAAACACATTCTCTCTTCACACATCTTATGTCTTCCTTTCCTAGCAAGTAATTTCAGAAGGCTAATAGGTTACAAGTACTTCCGATGAAGGAAGAACCTAAGAAATAGACTAGAAATAGGTCTAACCAGTAAAGGTCATATTTCATTTACTCATGTTGTTACTGTGTAGCTCTTCAGTGCATAAATGTATGAATAAACTCAATGGATGTGAGTTTTAAGTGTACAGCTCTGAGAACTATTTTGAATGCAGTCTATCAAATGCAGAGACTTAAGCAGGATTATGTTATGTTAAGAGTATACATCTTAAATGGACATTGTTTAAGCTAAAATTTTAATTTTTCCCTCCACAATTATATACATTTCAATACAAACAAAATACCAAGATGCAATATTAGGGAAATATATCAATGTCCTCCTATTAGAACATATGACAGTATTTCACGCACACGATCAGTCTCTTACAGAACCAAAACCACATTACAAAGAGGAACAAGAAGAGTAATAGATTTCAGTGTGAAACTGAACTTGGTTTTCTGGCTCTAAAATAGTTTACTTCACTTTGAACGAAGTAGATGTGACTGAATTGGAGTTGCTCTATAATTTATGAGTACTGTATGCTAATCTGGTCATTGCTTCAGTGTAGAAGCAAATTGGTTTAGTTTAAAAGGGAGCTGTAAGGAAAACAAGCAGGAAGGAGGAAAATGGCTCAAGATTAGCTACCTCTTAGCAAAATGGGCAAAGGCCTGGGAGCCAGTACATCAAAAGGACTGTGACTGGTTTTAAAGGAAGAATCCTCTCAAGAGGAGAGGGGCATTGTTCAGTTGCTGGGGGTGTCTGAAGTAGTAAGGACTGCCCAGATAACTACTGGAATGCTAAACCACATTATAATCTTCAGCCACTAAGTGGCACTGTGTACAACACATAGTACAACCTCATAACACATAACTGCACTATTAAAATGCAATTATTTCTTTTAAAAGTTTACATTTGAATCTAAGAAAGCTTTGAAACTTTACTATGTAGAAGAAAAATGCTGTGTTTAACCATCTTAATTTAAATGAAGTAAGCACAAAAACAGTTTATTTACATTAAAAAAAAAGATTTGACAAAGTAGTTCACATTTAGCACAGTATTTGAATTTTTTTTCTTGGTGCTTCTGCTGACTGATGGCATACTTCTGGTTTTAAATGAGGTGTGTGGTTAACTACTCACTTAGTAACTGGTGTTCATAACTTTGAGGTTTTACTGTACCTTAACTTCAGCTAACCTCAAATCCTACCTGGCAGTACTTTAAAGGATCTTCTGGAATACTTCTCAGGTGTATCTCTGAATGGAAGCTCTGTAGTCCATATCTGATACACAAGCCTGACCTGCTAGAAACCTACTACATACAAAGAGTAGGTGAAAAATGTCCATTGGAAGATAAGCAGCCTCTAATCAATACAGGCGTGTAAAGACTTGTTTTAAAATTCTTTCTGAATGCTCTGTTCACACTGATTTTAAGAAAGCAGTTTTGCCACAATACTACTGGTCACAGACTTCCAAAGGGAAGCACCACAGGTGCCAAACTCTGTCGCTCCTACTGGGCAAGCACAGTTGAAGTATAGGGTATGTGACACTCAGGACCAGTCCTAACCAACTGGCGGCCTTGGGCGACCGCCCGGCTCTCCCGCAGGGTTGCCAGATGGTTTAAAAAAAATAAGACTGGCTCTGTCAGTGGCCCCTTGAAAATGGCAATTAAACAATCAAAACTGGCTTTTGGTCAGCTGACATGGGTTGCCGAGGCTCTCACTATGGAGTTAACTAACTGTGGCACAAACAGATAGGCTGAAGCTCGAAGGGAGCCTTGCATCAGTTGACAGGAGTAGGGAACCTTTTTTTGGGTCAAGGGTCACAGAAAAATCAGTTGAGAACTGCACAAAAAAGTGAAACACAAAACAAAAAAAACCCCAACAAAAAACTACATTCCTCACTGATAAAGCCCCCGAAAGACACTCCCTCTCATTTTCATCTTGCACACCAGAGCTGCCTGGGCTAATACTCTGGGATGGGACCAAAAATAAGTGTTTCAGTGTGGGAGAGGGCTGCTGGGAAGCGGGCTTGGGGCATGGCGTCTGGGTTGGAGGGACAATGCAGGAATGGGTTGGGGGTGGGAGGGCTATCGGAGGTAGGGTACAGGAGCAGAGTGCGGGTGCAGGGTCCGGGCAGGAGGGAGTGCGCAGAGGCAGGGTGGTTGTGCGAGGTCTGGTCAATGGAGGAGCAGCGCTTTCTTGGAACAGCTCTCGGAAGACACACATGGTTCTTCTGTGTCCCTCACCTCTCCCAGGCATTGCCCTCAACTGCTCATATTAGCCATGATTAAGAGCAATTGGAGTGGCAAGGGAAAAGCCTCCAGGCAGCACTTTGCTGTGCTGCCATTTCCCCAGCCAGGGGAGAGAAAGGTGTAGTGGTAGTGTGGGGAGTCACTTTCTCCCCCTGTTAGGGACTAGCAGCACTGGGGGGGGCTGTGTCCCTCACCTCTCCCAGGCATTGCCCTCAACTGCTCATATTAGCCATGATTAAGAGCAATTGGAGTGGCAAGGGAAAAGCCTCCAGGCAGCACTTTGCTGTGCTGCCATTTCCCCAGCCAGGGGAGAGAAAGGTGTAGTGGTAGTGTGGGGAGTCACTTTCTCCCCCTGTTAGGGACTAGCAGCACTGGGGGGGGAGGGGGAGGGAGAGAGCCTCAAGCCTCAGGGGCAGGATCCAAACAAGCCAAGGCCTAGGTCCAACCCACGGGCTCTGCCTGGTGGCGGGGGGGAGGGGGCGGGCAGGCAGGAAGCAGCTCAGGACTTGGTTTATGAATGGGAGAACTGTGGATTTGTATCCTAAAATAGGTGAAGTTCCACAGCACCTGAGGGAGTGCAGGTTGATAGACCAGAAGAGGGCCAGGAGTGCAACTAGCCTGGTAATCGTGACAGTAATCTGAAAAGAAATTGTGCACATAATGTGAACCTAAGTCTCTCTAATTGTACGTCACAGAAAAGCTAAGTGCTGATCAAGTTTAAGGACACATGCCCAAGTTCCCTCCCAAGTGTTCTTGGGGGAACCAATTACAAAATCAAAGTAACAGACAAATGAATACCTTGGCCATGACCAATCCATTAATATGTTTGTAAAACCAATGAAATCTTAGCGGGATGAGTTGACAGCAAAGATTTAACAGCTCAGTGCTGAAATTAGAAGAGAGGAATGGCCATGTGAGAAAATTAGTGAGGCTCTTCCATGTAACTAAGCCAATTACAGATGGTCAGGACAGACTGGTTGGGCATATTCATAGCTGCTTTAGAATTCAGCAATTAAGGGGTCACAGCAGGGGTTCTCAAACTTGTGATACCGCGACCCCCCTCTCCATTGCTGCAACTACCCTCTCAGTTGCTCATGACCCCACCGGGGGGTCGGGACCCACAGTTTGAGAAATGCTGGGTCACAAAGATGCTATAATGCAGATTCTGTTACAGGCAGTCCCCGGGTTACGTACAAAATAGGGACTGTAGGTTTGTTCTTAAGTTGAATCTGTATGTAAGTCGGAACTGGCGTCCAGATTCAGCCGCTGCTGAAACTGACCAGCAGCGGCTGAATCAGGTCGCCTGGGGCAGAGCAGTTGGGGTGATGCCGGGTTGGTCCAGTAGCGCCGAGGAGCGGTGCTACTGGAGCAACCCAGCAGCCCCCCAGCTGCTCTGCCCCAGACGCCCCCAAGTCAGCCGTTGCTGAAACTGACCAGCAGCGGCTGAATCAGGTCGCCTGGGGCAGAGCAGTTGGGGTGATGCCGGGTTGGTCCAGTAGCGCCGAGGAGCGGTGCTACTGGAGCAACCCAGCAGCCCCCCAGCTGCTCTGCCCCAGACGCCCCCAAGTCAGCCGTTGCTGAAACTGACCAGCAGCGGCTGAATCAGGTCGCCTGGGGCAGAGCAGTTGGGGTGATGCCGGGTTGGTCCAGTAGCGCCGAGGAGCGGTGCTACTGGAGCAACCCAGCAGCCCCCCAGCTGCTCTGCCCCAGACGCCCCCAAGTCAGCCGTTGCTGAAACTGACCAGCAGCGGCTGAATCAGGTCGCCTGGGGCAGAGCAGTTGGGGTGATGCCGGGTTGGTCCAGTAGCGCCGAGGAGCGGTGCTACTGGAGCAACCCAGCAGCCCCCCAGCTGCTCTGCCCCAGACGCCCCCAAGTCAGCCGTTGCTGAAACTGACCAGCAGCGGCTGAATCAGGTCGCCTGGGGCAGAGCAGTTGGGGTGATGCCGGGTTGGTCCAGTAGCGCCGAGGAGCGGTGCTACTGGAGCAACCCAGCAGCCCCCCAGCTGCTCTGCCCCAGACGCCCCCAAGTCAGCCGTTGCTGAAACTGACCAGCAGCGGCTGAATCAGGTCGCCTGGGGCAGAGCAGTTGGGGTGATGCCGGGTTGGTCCAGTAGCGCCGAGGAGCGGTGCTACTGGAGCAACCCAGCAGCCCCCCAGCTGCTCTGCCCCAGACGCCCCCAAGTCAGCCGTTGCTGAAACTGACCAGCAGCGGCTGAATCTGGACGCCAGTTCCGACTTACATACAGATTCAACTTAAGAACAAACCTACAGTCCCTATTTTGTACGTAACCCGGGGACTGCCTGTACTTTGATTTTGTACATTTCCATTCATGCTCAAGAGATTTAACAAAAAACTGAACCACAATACTGAAAAGATCAATTAAGTTTGGATCTGTTTAGGAGACACATATAGGACTAAATTCTAACATCAGAGATATTCAGCTGTGTATAAGAAACTTCTCTAAGCAGACCTGAATTTGTGCATACACAGGAAAGGTGCAATTTAAGCCCCCATGACAGTCTGGAGAATTTACCTATGTAAAACATACGAATTCAGACTGATGTTATGAAACTGCTTTATCATTTCATGCCTCAGAGTATAGCTTATTAGCCATGTTCTGTCAGAACCACCT